TAAGAGAAGGAGCATCGTATCAGATGCATAGTTATATTGTATCTCTTATGAGAGAAGGGAGAATTTGTAGAGGCCTGCCTGTTCTCAGGACTGAGAGACAACAAATGTAGGATAAACTCGGTACTTGATAGTTTTAGACAGATAGATTAGGTTGAAGAGGCTGAAAAGTCAACTGGAAGCGCAGATATACTTTGTGAGGTCTACTTCAGCGTGCCGTAAGTGCTTGAGGAATGCTATGGTCGGCATAGCTCGGGTTAAGTCGCAGACATCGCCGCAAAAGGATCAATTTACATCGAAAGACTTAACATTATCTACATTTGAACTCAGCAGCGATTTGGGCGAAAGGAAAACTGCATTATGCGAGACTCAGAGTCACAAGAAATCGAATACCTTAGACTTATGTGCTATACATTGATAAGAATCATTTATACAGCAAATGATGTTTTTATTGCAGTCTCAAGCATAAGATTTTTGACAAGATTCGGCCCGATACGCAAAGCTTGACTATTGACTGATGTCATAGCATTCTGAAGGGCGCAGGCCCATTCCCGGACTGGTCACAAGCTCCTGCTGGCCCTACAGCGACACGCAACCTTTCAGCATTGAAGACTTGATTATGGTCATTTGAATAGGCGTAATGCGGCAGAAGTTACCAAGACCCTCGTTTTGACTTTGGCAATTTCGTTGGTTGAGATTCAGTCGATTAAACGAGAAAGGCGAATGAAGGACTACCGATCCGCATGTCGATTACGTACGTTAACATTTATGCAATGTTTAACGCTTTTACTTAACGCCGTATTCTCTGGAAGGCATGAGCATACCGCGAGGGTGCTTCTTGATGCAGGAAATGGTACGGAAGCTCGGTTCTATCGATCCATAACGCCTCTGCATCACGCTGCGGAAATAGGGAGCGAGGCTATCGCAACGCTGTTTATTGATGGGGGTGCTGATAATGAGGTTCGAGATGAGAAGGGTTCAACACCTCTAAATAGTGCAACAAAGCGCAGGCAAGAGGATAGATCGAGGCATGCCGTTTGTTAACCAGCCGTATAATCAACTGTAACATAGGACATGTCACACATTACTCTCAGCTTGCAATAGGGATCTCTTTCACCAAGGCATGGAGAGTAGTTCATAAGAGGCTAGGAGGTGCTGCGGAAGAACGGGGGAGGATTTCGGGTTAGCAGCAGGTCCCGTCTATTGATAGGTGTGGATTGATTCTGTTCTCGATTGAGAATAACAGTGTAGCCTTACATTATAATGACTTCAGAGAGAACATAAATGAGAACGGCGCGCGAAGGAACATGAGGAGAGTCTACGAATAGACAGATGAAACAGTAAAAGAAGGAGGAAACGTGCAGAGCACATGATTAGTGTTTGTTCGAGGTGATGATTGATGTCAAGGAGGAAGAAGGAAGGTCGACCAGGGAGCGGTTGGCCGAGTGGAAGAGAGGGTTCAGAAAAACATAATACAATCTTAAGTGGTTGAGAAGATCTGAGTTTATCTGTAGCACCAAGACAGGCGGCTCTACACTCAACAATACTATTTTGGCCAATTGACAAACTGGCTCGGTTCGCGGAAACAGAAACTGCACTATACAATAAGGATAAGAATCTAAGTAAAACATGTTATAACTAAATTGAGAAGATTGTCTGTTAGACATGACTGCCATTTACCAGTCCCAGAAGCATCTACTCATCGTCGTTAGGGTCGATAACAGTCTTGGTCCACTTGCGAGCCTGGACGCGACGGTTGAAAAGGATATCAATCTCACGGTACGAGCGGCCCTTGAACTCAGGCAGCCAGATCCACGACATGACGAAGCACACAAAGCCCGTGCCAGCCCAGACATAACCACATTTTCCGCCAAGATTAGCTTCCTACAGTAAAGCATTAGTTTCCTCACGACAAAGATAGAGCAGGATATACATACCTTGGGGTTGAGCATGTAGCTCGACAGGAAGATGCACGGAATATTAACCAGGTAGTAACTAGCACGGCCGATACCTGTTGTAAGAGGCCTGAGACGGATGGCTGATGTCTCGCCGATGATGGCATATGAAACAGGAGCCGGGCCAAGGGTAAAGAGAACAGACACGATAAGGCCCAATGAGGCCTGGGCCAACGAGGATGCATTGCTCTTCTCAACAGTACCTGCGATACCCAAGGCGAGAAGGAACAAGACGTTGATAAATGAACCCCAGACGTAGATGGTGCGTCGACCGATGTAGGTAGTCAGAATCCAGGAGAACATAACAAAGATCATCTGAAGAGCAGAAGTGATAAGTCCGAGGGCAAAAGCAGTGTTTGTGGTCATACCGGCCTCTATTAAATGCGTTAATATACGTCATGTCCAGCAGATGCAGAGCGGGGATACTCACGCTCAAAGAAATATGTCGCCTGGTTGGCAATCAGATTACCAGTCAAGTTCTGGGCAGCATATACACCGCACACAATAAGGGTTCGGTAGCGGTCGGTACCCTTGAATAGCTCGAGATAGCTAGGTTCCTTCTCAGACTTTTCAAGCTCGATGGTTCGACGCATCATAGCAACGGACTCCTCATGGTTCTTCACCACAGTGCTGCGACCAAGGCGGGAGATAGCCTTGACGGCATCTTCGTATCGACCGCGACGGGTGAGCCACCATGGAGATTCAGGGGCCAGGAAGATCAGGATGGCAAGGGGAGTTGGGAACATCCACTGCAGAGCGATGGGAACCCTACAAGTCATACCTTGTCAGACTGAATCCTCGTTTGTAAGGCAGGGTAGTAGTACGTACCTGTACGCTGCTTTCTCCTCGAGCCCATTGTAGTGGTAAGCCACGCCGTTAACGATGATAGAACCGATAGCCCAGAACATCTGAAGCATCTGGGTTGCAGGGGCACGCAGTCTCATGGGGACAATTTCACTGCAATACGCAGGGGCGTTGGCAATAAAGATACCCCATGGAATGCCCTCGAGGACCTGGGCCGCTACCATAACAGACAGCGAATTGGCAAAGTAGAAGACGAAGATAAAGGCGTTGAGGAGCATAAGGCCGCCTATAGTGGCCCAGCGGTAACCAATGCGGCTAGTAATCGGGCCAGCGATAGTGACGCCAATAAGGGCGCCGACAGGACCGCAGCACTGGAGGGCAGACTGCCAAGGACCCGTGATGACATACTTGTCGACATTTGCGCTGTAGACGCCGTAATCCTGTGCGAACTTGGGCAGGGCGATGAAGTTTCCCATTAGGAAGACGCAGTACGACTCCATGATCTGATTCGTGCAGCGTCAGCAGAGAAAGTCAACGGCCAGGGTTCAACTTACAATGGTGCACGACATGATGAAAGCCCAGAGGGTAGCCATGGGGTAGGCACGCACGGCCTCGAGGACGCCCATGTTGAACTCGGCATTTTCAGCCTCGATGGCATCGCCTTTGAATTGGGCGATTTCAGCCTTGTGATCGAGATCTGCCTGATGGTTGACGGTGTGCTTCTGGGTCTCAATCTCGGCTGCGGAGACTGGCTCCTCTTTTTCAGAGACACCCATGTTGGCTGTTGATACAACAATGAGAGTAGGAGGGAATAAAGGAGATGAGAGAGTTGTTTATGCGAGGGAGAGAAGGCCGGAAGTAGGTCGGCCATGGACTCATTATATGCTGATCTGCAGCTTCTTCCCAAGCAAGCACGAGAAAGCAAGCACGAGAAATCCAACCCGAGATTTCATTCATGAGTGTGACAAGGAGATAAAACCTCGTCTTAGACGCGCCTATGGGAGCTTGGCATCGCGGATAAAACGGTGGTTCCTCGGCCGTACTATCTGTACTTCTCCAGACTCGATCCTAGCGCCATGAGGGGACGGAGTTAATGGGGTCAATAATGGGGTATTGGGGGTTGACTCCACGGGGTCGAGAATCCGTTTGGGGCTAAGTGTCATGAGTGCTGATGAACAAGCGCGACTAGATATGCGCTAATGTTAGACGCACCTATCAGCACTCAGCTTTTGCTTCTCCAGGTTGCATTCTAGCGCCATTGGGGTATTTTCCACGGCACGTTAGCCGGAGACCTTGAGCTCGTCATTGAGCTATCGCTGCATCGCGTGTGTATTCCCGAGCTCTGCCGTATTCCGGGACTAGAGCCTTGGCAAGATGTCTCCCAGCACCCTCTTGTTATGACTAAATAGCCCTGCTTGCATTATGTGTTGTTTGCGTTTTTGTAAATTTAGGCCTCCCAAAGCTTATCCCATTACGATAATTCGCGATATGCATTCCGGTGCGCTTAGACCTGTTGTCAAAGCTCAGGTGTCACTTGATGTATATGAACAAGATTACTTGAAAGATAATGGAGACTCCTCTCAACACCTTGCCAAGGGACACATCTACTACGTAGCTAGTCTCCAAGATCGAAACCGGCCAACAACCAAGGGATAGCTCAATGTCTTAGAGCTGCAAGATACCCCATATTGAGGATATCCTTCTCTCGCTTGAACCGGATGTTTAGGTACTTACCGACGGACAGTTGTGGTTCGAGAAGAACGCGAAAGCGCGCCAATTACTTGGGGTCGCGCATATATAAAGTTCAAACTAACAAGCTAATAGTTCCTGAGGGCAACCGCACTAATAAATCCCCAGGTCAAAATCTGCAGCATCCATACTTAGTTAGCCGCACATATCGGCTTTTCGATTCCACGAGGGCTTGGCGCAGATCATCGCAGAATGGAACGAGTTTCTGCGGCCCGTGATCTTTCCCCACGGGGGATCTTCAGTCGAGTTTATAGCTACCCCGGCTTAATGCATCAAGCAATTTTTCGTATACCATAAGTGAAATAAAAACGGCCCGATTGTAGTGCAGTAAGTAGAAGCACTACCCTTGGACAGTTTAGTGGTAAACATAAACAAATGGCCTGAGTCTCCCGTGACAATGCACGGTACTTACCGACGTAACCCTGGATATAGAGATTTGAAGTATATAAATATGAACCTTAGGAAGCCTTGAAACCCCATTAAATAGCCCTTTCGCCAAGTCTCCTCTGGATATACCTCTTCTGTCCCTTTGACAACCTAACTTGTTCATCTCTTCAATGAAGTCTCTCCCTTCAATCCTGGCGGTAGCCGCCATACCCTCCCTGGCTTTTGGCCAATCCTTCCAGTCCACCCCCGTTATGGGTTGGAACTCATACAATCAATTCTCATGCAGTCCCAACAACAAGAGCATCGCCGCCACCATTGAAGCTCTCTCCAGTCGCGGTTTTGTCGACGCTGGCTACAAGTTCTTTCAGATTGATTGCGGCTGGGCCTCTCGCGATACGAAGCGAGACCCTAACACGGGAGCATTGAAGGTTGATTCTAATGCCTTCCCCGACGGGCTGAAGCCTCTGAGCGACTTGGCAAGATCCAAAGGCATGAAGTGGACCATGTATTCCGACGCTGGTGTACGCATGTGTGATCCTCAAGATCCATCCCCCGTGCTGGGATCCTTGGGCCACGAAGCTGTCGACGCCGCGTTTTTCAAATCGTTGAATACAGAGTACTTGAAATGTCAGTACATCATATGCGAAAACAATAGCATCCTACTAACCAGGATATTGTCTAGATGACAACTGCTACGCTGATAGTGCCAACAACAACGCCCCCAAGGATCCACGAACAGACTTTGTCACTCGTTTCGGCACAATGTGGACCGAATTACAGAAAGTCGGTATTCCCGGAATGCTCATTTGTCAATGGGGTGTTCCATACTCTTCATCCAGCGGCCTCGAAGGTCCCGCGGAATGGACTCAGGACATATCCACCTCTTTCCGCCTCTCAGACGACATCGCCCAAGGCTGGAGCAACGTATACCGCATCTCCAATCAAGCCATCCATATCGCACACAGAAACCTCTCCGGGCCCGGCCACATTGCCGACGCTGACCTTCTCGAGGTTGGTAACTCTGGCATGACATTCGACGAGCAGGCCACGCATTTCGCTCTATGGGCCATGCTCAAGTCTGCTCTCATGATCTCGACAAACATCACGGCGCTGTCGGATCAGACTGTGGCTGTTCTTCAGAACAAAGACTTGATCGCCATAAATCAGGATGCAGCTGTCAAGCCTATCAGCTTGGTGCAGCGATGGACTGGCGATCGAGACTTGTGGGCGGGACCACTTGTAAACGGAGATGTTGCAGTTCTCTACGTCGACCTAAGCAATAAGGCTCGATCCCTCAGCCTCCAGCTGTCTGATCTCGGGATCCAGTCAGCCGACGTCAAGGATCTGTGGACGGGCAAAACTTCTACTGGAGCTTCATCTTTCTCTAAGCAAGTGAATGGCCACGGCTCTGTCGCATTGCGTCTCTCAAACATCAAGAGAGTTAGTAGCACAGCCAATTATAAGTACACGTCTCTTTCCACCGGTTCGTTGTCCTCAGGTGCCAAAACTGCTTCTTGCTCTGGCTGCACCTCCTCGACCAAGGTCGGCAACCTCGGGGGCAGCTCCAACGGTCAGGTTGTCCTCTCAAACATCCGCACATCCAAGGCTACACAAAACGTTCTCTTCGATTATATCAACGGCGATGTGGGTTTCGGTGGTAGTACCAACGAGCGCCTGGCTTCCATCAAGGTCAACGGCGGTACTGCGCAGACCGTGAGCTTTCCCCTGTCAGGTTATAACTGGGACAAGGATGTCTACAAGGGCTATGCCGTCGAGCTTTCCGGTTTCAACACCAATGGGCCAAACACTATTACCATTTCGGGCGTCAATGGTGGCTGGGCACCTGATTTTGACAGACTGGCTGTTATTTCCTAGAGCCTTTATTCCGTCGAAACTCATGAGATCTATCAAGGCTTGTAGAGCTACCCTGGTTAGGTAGAATCCTCCCTTGAGGTATAAAGAAATAAATTAAGCTATTAAAATACTAAAACCTAAAAGATTCTACCTGAAAACAATATCTCAGATGTCTTAAGTCTGGATTTATAGCCATTAAAAGTTTGAATAATTAAACCCTTACTATAGTCCCAAATCTGTACGCCATCGCTTGCAGAAGCAACTATTACTCGCCCCAACTTGGGTGAAAACGATAGTGATCGCACATAGGATGGAAACCCTGGAATTATACTCGGGGGTTGCGGAGATCCGGTATCGTACACGAGAAGTCCTCCCTCTGATAGGATGAAGATGAGCCTTGAGTCAGATGAGAACATGACGGCCCTCGCTGGAGACTCAGCTGTATGGAGGATTTCGATAATATCCCCCGAAGAAATGTCCCAGATGAGGACTTTGTTTTCATGCGACGTCGTTACAAGAAATTGCCAATTTGGTGAGATGGCCACTTTGCCTGAGCCGTACCAGCCCTGAAACACAGTTGGCTCTTGCTGGGTTTTGAGATCATACAAATACGCCGTGCCATCGGCTGATAAAAAGGCGGCAGTTTCGGAGTCCGGCGAAACGGCCAAGTCGTGATTCCAACGGTAGGGCTCTTGAGCGATTTTCCTTTCTCGTAGCGAAACATTAAAACACTCCTTGATGGCTTCCCCGGTATTTTGTTTTATCAATTTGCCCATGGGATCCTGATGAGCTTGCTTCGATGTCTCCGATGAATAATACTGCATGCTTCCTTGGCCAATATCGCAGACGTAGATACCGTGCCAATTGCCACCTACAAGCCTTGACGAGTCGTTCAGGAACCTGAGGGCTTTGGGAGCTTCTCGCAACGCAGCCTTGGATTCCAGGTATGATTGCTTAGTGATCTCATACCAGCCAAGAAAACATCTTGTAGTCCCGTTTTCGACATTCCAAACACGAATTCCCCAATGGATCTTATTGTACTCAACAGTCGCCAGAAGACCAAAGTCAGACGATATTGTTGCGCAGGCCAAAGTGTAGTCCGAATGGAAAGGCCGACCAACCACGTTGGTTAATTTGCCGGTACCGACTGCCCATATCGTGGCAGATCCATTAGTTGAGATAACCGCGAGTTTCTGTGAATCTGGCGAGAAAATCGCATCGTGTATGCTGTTGGTTTTAATCTGTAGGAAGTGCATGGCAGATTCTGTTTGTAAATCCCAAATAATTACAGTTCGATGATAGGCTGTGTGTTTCATGGATGAGGGCTTCGGACAGATAGAAGCAACTTTGGTTCCGTCGCCTGAAATACTTGTAAACACAGCAAGACTAGCATGCATTCGGATAGTGTCGACCCGAATGGCATTTCGAATGTCCAAAGTGCGCACCGTTCCATCTAGGTTTGTCATGGCAAGTTGAGATGTGTTGGAAGATAACGATGTCGTGCAAAGGGTCCAAGTAGGACTCCAATCTCGCCCTGATAGTGTGACAATTAGCTCGGGGGGCTCGGTAAGCCTCCATAGCTCGAAGGTGCCATATTCACGACCTAGTAGTAAGCGGGTTCCACACGACAAGAAGTCCAAAGACCCGACGATACCGTTTCTGTATGTAATGTCGTGATGGAATCTGTTGGTCAATTGTGGTTCGGTGTGCCAAATGCGGACAATTTCACCTGCCGCAAACGCGATGGTATCCGAGAACTTAGCAGAGGCCTGAACGAGGGTATCTCCTACTGAAACCCTTTGTCTGAGCTTGTAGTCATCTGTATTATCCCAAGCACAGAGGTAACCACCAGCGCAAAGTGAAAGAATGCGCCCTTCCCTCGTGAATGAAGACCAGGTCACTGGTCCCTTGTGACCCGAAATAAAGCTTTTGAGCTTTTTGACGACATATCCAGTTGAAAGTTTGACAAGAATGAGTGACTTATCGTTAAGGGCGCAGGCGATGAGCTGACTATTGTTCGAGAAAGCAACGTGTCGTGGTCTAGATTGTAGTGTTGAAATAGTGTGGAACACGAGCCCAGTCCTCAGCTCAGCGACTTGAAGCTCTCCGTGGTCCGTCGCCAGGGCGGCGTAGCATGAATCCGGGCTTATAGCTAGGCAGGTGATACTGTGAGAGCTATCAAGTCGTTTCGTTTTGACCGGCTGATTAAGCTCATCAAAACAACCAAGATCCTTGCCTGTTGCAACAAATAACCTTCGTGAATCGGGCAAGAACTCGACACAATGTACTTTCTCCTTGAAAGCCTTCACTGGCTGCAACGGACTTGATTGCAAATGGACCCGTCCGGTCTCAAGTAAAATCTCGTTCAATTGTAAATATTGATCATTGATCACAGGTTCTGCGACATCAACGCTGTTGTTATCCGCAACAGACTCAAGCCTAGGAGGCTCATCCATAAACACCTGAGAATGTTCAGACGTCAAGGTAATTGGAACTGGGGCTGAAAGAAAGCCCAGTTCGGTCTGCGTTTCAACAAGTGAAGAAACTTTAACCGAGACCTCAGTTGCTGGATTGGAAAGGCTTTTATCACCAATGATCCGTTGGCTAGGAAGTGGTTTACGCCTGACCGGCGGCTGGAATGTCATATTCTGCGACACCCCCACCACCCGTGACACTGAGTTCGCCACAACCGGGTTTGTGTTTTCTGCGAACTCAGACGTGGTCCAACTTCGGTACTCTCTTTCAGAAACTGGACCATTCGAAAGACTGAGTATCATCGTTAGTGTTACTAGAACTTGACAATGTCAAAAGATGATCCTACCTTTCAGTAGGAGGTTGAAGGGGAAAGACCAAGGACCTAGTCTTAAGATCTACTGATGCTTCGACCCAGGGGTGTGACAGGCCCGCGTGAGAGGTGATACGGTCAGTGGCTTTGGCAGTCATGGCTTGTTGAATAAAATCAAGCATATCTAGACTCAGCCCTGAACCCTTTGACTGGGGAAGTGGAAATGGTATCCTACCCAAATAGAAGCCCATTAGGTGCTCGAGTGATCGAAATGTCGCCTTGCCTGATGCCATCCGAACAAGAGTCTCCCCCATGCTCCAAAGATCGGCAGCAACCCATACATCATGGGGAATAGACGGTGGACCACTCATGGCACCACTTTCCCGATAGTGCAGTATTTCTATAACGTCCGGCGCCATAAACCCAGGAGTTCCACCTGCAACACTGGGCATCTGCGTAACACTGGCTCTTTTACTTAATCCAAAGTCACTGAGTTTAATCCACCAGGCAGAAGGAGGGCAAGATTTGATTAATATATTCTGTCATGGTTGTCAAAGGTCAATTCATCTATGCTGAATGTTATGTTTGACTCACAGCAGGTTTCAGGTCTCGATGTGCAAATCCTTCCTCATGCAAAATGCTGAGCGCATAGAGAATTTGTCGGGTGATTTGTCGAACCTCATCCTCAGGAAGAAGCGATGTCCGATTCATATAGGACTGCAAGTCCCCTAGAGGGAAATACTCAAGTGATATGAAAAGGTCCTCTGGCCCCCGATACCAGCCAAATGATTTCACAAAGTAAGTCATGAACTAGCCATATGGGCCTTATATCAGTAACTATCACAGACACAGTCCAGCTACCGGCATACCTTTTTTTGAGAGAATTTGGCTACAGCCTCCAACTCCCGAGAATACGACATGGCATCAGCATCTTGCCTCGAAGATATTACCTTGACCGCACGCGATTGCGGTGTGTCTTCTGCATGTCCCTGGACACATTCTTCAAGGCAGACGTATGAGAACCCGCCTTGGCCAATTGTTTTGACTCTCTTCCAAACTTCTCGCCGTGCGGGGGCAAGAGAGTGAGGAGCTTCAAGAAACTCATGTATAGTGTAGGGAGTTTCAAATCGAGTCCGTAGTTCTGTATCCCTTACTAGCTCCGGAAGCTGCAATTGGTCCATGGGGGCGACGGGCAGCATGATGAGACTAATTGTTACTAGGGTTGGTGAACAGCGAAGCTTTTGAGTCTGTTAGAAATAGCGGGACAGAGACAATGTGTTGATTTGGTAGGCTGCTAGAGTTTATTAATAAATCGCGCAACCGTAAGCGGTAGCTGAAACACCAACAACCAACAGCAAATTATTCGACTGCTGACTGGTTGAATTCCGAGATAACAGCCCCTATAGTGGGTCTGCAAAATTTCCATTATTTGCTTAAGTAATGTTGTTCTGTGCCGTCCCTTTTCTTTATTCTTTTCGTGACACGCTCCGTGTGCAATAAAACTACCAATAAGTCACAAGTTGTACAGTTGAGGCCTTCTGTTAAAGCAGCATCTTAGCGTCGCTCTTAGGTTGCACCGGCTATTTAGGAAGTGGAGCTATCCCCAAAAGCAGCATGTCCGGGCCCGAACTGGGTCTGGCCATTTGGGCAGCTGTCGATCTTGGATTAAAGTACGCTAGGTCCCTAAATTTCCTATTTACTAACTGTATATTTAAAGCTAACGCCTGGTTTAATAGGTGGGGGAATAAACTTATTGTGCTGTGCCATTCGATTAAAAATGCCCCCAAGGAACTTACTGAAAGAGTCATCCGAGTTGAAACCTGTTCGGTGCGTATCAGCCAGCAGATGGAACATACCAGGCACGTAGTTGCCGCCATGGAGCCAGCACACCAAGAACTACATCTTCATACCTTGGAGGTAGTATCGGGCCGGTTACAGGCTGTTTACCAAGAATTATCAGCTTTCTCCCGGCTCTTGAAACCGATCAGCTCCACAAGCGACGACAAAACAAAGACTTCTCAACGATCATTGGCAATGAACAGAACCCTGTACGCTCTGAAGAAGAAAGGAATAGATGAATCAATAAGCGAGCTGGAGAAATGGCAGTCAACATTTGACATATCGTGGCTGCTGATCCTGAAAACGGCGGAACAGGGCATGAGTACTACCAACGAGACCGAGGCAACAATGCAATCGCCGTCCAATGTCCCAGGAAAACTAACCGGAAGGCCTCTCTTCATGGCTGAGACGGGGAGAGCTGTGTTTCTTCGCCCAGAGGGAGTTGATATGTCGAGTGCTTGTAAAATTGCGTATTGCGAGTCGCAGTTCCTAACAAGAGGTTCAGAAGGTCTCGTTCTCGACTCACTAGTATGTTCTCAACCCTCGACAGCTAGTCGATCCTTGGCAACGAAAGATGTAAAGAGCCTCGCTCAGAAACTTCACGCATATGAAGGGCCAGGCTTTGGGCTATTCAAATGCAAAGGAGTTCTGAAACAAGGTTCTGGAGAGTTGAACACGAACCAGCTGAATTTTACGTTCGTCTTCCAGGTCCCAAGGCATCTCCAGGAACCGCGCAGCATGCGTGATTTTCTATTGAGCCAGGAACGCCCACACTCCCTTTCTGATATTATTCGGATAGGCCGGGAACTTGCCAAGGCAGTCAGCTATGTACATCTTCTCGATTTCGTGCATAAAAACATCCGTCCAGAGTCCATACTTCTTCCACGACATACAGAAACAAACGAGTTAGTTGCATATTTGGTAGGCTTCCAGAAGTTCAGAAAGGATGGAGGCATGACAAGTCGACTTGGAACTTCAGATTGGGAACAGTCTTTGTACTGCCATCCGAGGAGATATGGCAAGAAGCCAGAAGACGCTTATATCATGCAGCACGATATCTACAGTCTTGGGGTCTGTTTGCTGGAAATTGGCCTCTGGGAATCCTTCATTACATATACGGAGACGGGCCAGGTAATCCCGTCGGCATTGATAGAGAGCTATCTGTCCTCCGATGCGATCTCAGGAATCGAGACTCTGAAGAACCGTCTGGTAACGCTAGCACGAACCAAACTGCCCGGACGAACCGGAAGTAAATACGCCGAAATTGTAGAGACATGCTTGACATGTCTTGATGAGGGTAATGCCGACTTTGGAGATGAATCTGAGTTCTTGGACACAGATGGCATCTTAGTAGGTGTCCGATATATTGAAAAGGTGAGCAAACCAGTATTATATGCATTCTTGAAACTAATAGAATTTAGGTAGTCACTAAGCTAGATTTATTAAATATATAGTTTAAAACTTAAATCTAATAATATGCCCTTTAAATTGTTGTTTTTTAAGAGAAGTTATATCTTAGGTCATCTTGGTAATGTTGAGATATCTAGCATTAATAGGTTTCCCAATTTTCTTCCTGGGTGGCAAATTATTCATCAACCTCAGGGACTCCTTATAAAACGGCATACCTAGGATCGGCCATTTAAATAGCTGAGTGTGATGAAGAATCTAACTTATCTGCGGGATGATCCCGCAAATGCTGCTGGCAGTAGGTAAGGCTCCGTCGAGAGCAGCGCCAGAAAAGAGGCCCCCGCTTATGTCAATACTCGCAGATGCAATGGATAGGTGAGAGGCCGATTCGGAGTACAAGAGTATTACAACTAGAGGCAGTTGAAGTGCGGCTGAAGAAAGAATGTAGTTCTGTTTCCTGAACAGTGTGACTTGCTCACGCGCTAGGCGATTCAGGTTCTATGTAAAAGGACAACGTAAATGAAAGGGTCGTACTATGATGATTTTGGGGCGCTGCAATGGATCAAGTGACATCACTGTACACAACAGTCAGTGTTGTAAGTGGGATTGTCAAAGTCGATGCTACAGATATCACACAAGGCGTATATGATGTGGGGATCTTTTGACTATAAAATCAGTAAACCTCAGATCATTGCCTTGAGAAGGTTCAAGAGATAAAAGATTGCCCCTATTTCGTTCTAAGAAGGAAAGTTGACAGTACTGTAAGTAGGACACCTATAGGCGAATGGAGGTTACAAAGCAAAACTTAGATACAATTCACATGATATACCCGTTGAAGCAAATTGATCACACCTTTTGGCTTGAGACCGGATGAGTGAGCGAGTAACAAGGCATGCTGCAAGGTTCCCGCCATCGACCTCTTAATAATTTTTCTTGCTGTTACATGATATCGGCAAAATAGACTGTCATGTGCCTTCCAACGGGTTGATTAAGAGCAATCGTGAAGACAAAGGAATCAATTGGCAAACCTTTAGAAGTGCATTCAGAGATGTCGCTATGTTTCGAAGGGGTTGTGACAAGAAGCTTGCCATCTGGATCTTCCAGCAGGCGGGTCTCATTTGATCGTCGCAGCTACCCTCGAATAAGGATATGACTTGTTAAGCTGTGGCGCGCTTGAATTGGCAATCATACGTGATATCAATATAATGTACTCCTGTATCCTTGACTGACAGTTGCTGGGATACTTCTGATGCTTTTGGTGGGGAATTTGTTGTATTAGTTGAGTAAAGCATCGTCACCGTTGCCGCCATGGATAGGCAAAGAACTGTGGGCTCAGGGGGAACCTAAGCCGCTGATGGGTAGGCATGAGCTTCTCCGACAGCAAGATGATTATCGGGGCATAGTTCGCGACCGAGCATTTCTAATAATGCATTAGTAAAGGGGTTTAGCTCACAGCCTGAGGACCATCATCATCATCACTGTTGTTTATCCGTTTGTTCTCATCTCTCGATTCTCTTCGCCTAAGTCAACAGTATCTTCAACATACCCGGCTCAATTCGAACTCCCCCGTCTCTCCCAGCATCACCTATCCATTGGCCCTTTATCAGCAATATATTTCCATAACTTCTACATTAGGTCTACTCCTTCAAGATAGCTAAACAGGGCATCCCATCGCAAAGAGCGTTAAGTCCCTGAAATTAATGCCCTTATTTCCAATAAGGACAACAAGTCCTTGACCGTTAATGACACTCCTGTCCTCCGTTTCGGTATACAAGAGGATTGGCGATATCACCTATTCAAGGCCATTTTCAACCTGTCTTCAGAGACTCAACTATCCGTCCGTATTTACCCCACAAACTAAGAATCCCAGCACCAACTCGGAGATAGGGAAGGGGAGTGCGCGGCGCGACATCAACGATCCTTCGTTATAGCGTCCTTTACTGCTTCGGAAAATGGAGTTTTGCCTCGTCGTCTTCAAAGACAAACTGGTTGCCGAGCTATAGGTCTAGAGAGGGAATGCAACTTCTACTTTAGCAAATTGCAGGATATCAAGGTGGCTTTGGAACTAATGGAGTAAACCACGATCAGGAGCCGCTCGTCGGATGACGAGCTTGACGATCTGTCGCTTGCGGCATTGCTGTTAGGGGCATCGGCGACTTCCATCGTCGCCAAAATGGCCAATAAGTTGTCGAGTCTTAGTTCGATCACTAAGCCATTAGCGGTGTTGCTATAAAACAAATCCGAAGCTCTCCACCTCTGACTCGACTTCCTGCAGAGGTCTTTACAACTGTCAATTCTCTCATCTCTGTTACACATAGACCCTCAGTCGGTTGATATGTCAAAACGGCGATAGTCGTCTGTTCTCCGATTTCTCTTTATGTCTCTGTAGTACTTCCGTGATTTACATATCATCTATTCATAGCTCAAGTATATAAACACACAAAATAGGCAATCTTATAATTATCTACAATAGCGACATGATGACCTCATTCAAGCTCACTGAATCAAGGCACGAGCTCTGTGAATTATACATCCCTCATGTGTCGTGATGCAATGCTGCTGTGGCAGTATTGGATGTAAATAACAAAAGACTGGGTGCGTTCGAAACTATAATGGGCTGAGGCCGTTGTAGACGCTATAGAACTTGGAGAAACTTGCAGAGACTGCAGGGAAAACTCGAGAAATACGCTTTTCGTTGTCTCGTTCTTCATGAGGCTAAATGAAATAGTCTCTGCTTAAACCCTTTTGTAGGAAGAGAGATCTGTAATTTAATTAGGCTTGCTTTGAGACAGCGAGTCCAGCTTGAAAGGTCAGCTAAGTGATGGGCCGCTTGAAGTAATAGAGGGGTTATAGAAAGAGAGTATCAGTTTGGTACCTTTGAGAAAAGCTCTTGCCTTGCTGGCGCTGGTCTAAGGGTTTCTACCTCTTGAGACTCCTGGCTGCAACCAGATACCAACTGTTCACCTTGCGCTTCCATTGTCACTTTCGCGGACTCTGATGCTGTGGATCTGATTCTGAGGCACACTGGCAGTAACAATCCGGGTCATTGAGATCCATACGGAAGTTCGGTCACCCTATTTTCTTTCATTTTCAAGTCACATTCACTGGAGCTGAACAAAGAGTTGTTTAAATATCCTCTGTCATTAAAAGCTCAAACTCGGTCGAGACGTAAGACACAGCTGGCGCAGCGAGCGATGATTTACCACCAAAGGGCTAGATACTAAAGATGACATTAAACAGTTGGCAAAGTTTTGTAGCAGGCGTGAAACGACCATTTTATTCAATGTGTCTGAGCATGATAAAACGGATCAGTCAACCTGCCACCACTTGAAACGTTGCAGCGGCCGGTTTTTTCGCCGAGCCCAATGACCCTGTAACTTTGCTAAATTTGGACGTCCTTTCTGGGGGGCTGTGGCAAGTGGCAAGTGCACATGCCTGTTCTTTGCAATTACTCAGCGTTCAGGCCACGTAATAGGTGTTTCCTTGAGAATCTACAGGAAGGCGAGGCGAGGCAGCTTGGGCAGTATGACTAGAGTAGTTAATCTTGGTAGCGAGGCGATGCTACATATCCATTGGTAACTCATATTCCCAGAATCCAAGCAACTGATTAACATGTGTCATTGTTGACTTTGTTGTCAAGCTTATCATCGTCTTCTTTCCACTCAGGGTATCAAGGGTGATGACGGATACCTCTACAGCATTGTCTAACTCAACCTTGATGTGATGGCCCTCTGGGATGAGATTGGGGGAGATAGTAGTGCCAAAACTACCATCAAGGGCGTCGACGGTTTGCTGAATATTGTGTGTGTTTTGATTGTTTCCTCGCTGTCGGCGCTGTATGTGTAGCATAGGGTTTTGGTACTTGATGCATAGACAGGGATGAAGCACCTGGTAGCGGAACATCTCGTCCTCGATATTTCGAAGGTGTTGGATCCCTTGACGATATGTGATACAAAGGTCTTCCCACTCTTGTTGTGCCAGTGATAGATCATGATGAGAGGGCGTTATTGGCCGGCTGTGTAAAGCGGAAGATTCTGTTGAATCTTCAGTCTCTGAATCGATAAGAGACAGTACGTCGTTCATGTCCACTTCTTCACCCTCTCGGATTAGCTTGGTCGGTCTAGCAGGACGAGACTTCTTACCCTCAAAGTCCGAAGTGAATGGGGTCTTGATTCCTCCATCACAAGAGATGCTTGATGTCTCACTGTAGTGATCACAGGTAAGATAAGTCATAGTGTCACTGAAAAGCTGGGGCCAATTGATAAAAACGCTGTGATGTTCAGTGCTGTAGACACATATGCCTCATGATAACGCGTCACTGAGTTCCAACCTCTTCAAAAGGCAAAACCTGTCTTCTTATGCTATTCTTTCCAGAATCCAGAGCGGGGTAAATAAACTATAAGTCCACAAGCTTTACCAAATAGAGAATATAACGGCCACAAGCTAACGGCGCTATGATGTGTAACGGCGGATAATAAAACAAACTTTGTAGCCACAAACTTAACGTCTTCTGCAACAGGCTAGTTCGCACCGCTTGAAATAACGCGTGTTTGCTAATCCTTTCTGGTCACAAGTAAACTTTGTGGCCGCATGTGGATACTCCTGAGGCAGACTTTTGGGCGGTGAAAGACTGAACAAGTTACTATTGAAGCGATTGCGGAACTCATATATATTGCTACCGGCTACATCTTTGCTTGGTTGTTGAAAAACTCTGTCGTCAACCTAGTGTGGTGCTCTCTGTTTAAAGCCCAAACGCTCAACTGCTATTACAATCTTTGGAGAGGACGCAAAAGCGATCGCGCGTATTATCAGCATCTGGCATCAACATGAATGATGGCAGCCCCGAAAAGCACCAAAGAGAAGCCAGCGTGCAAGACTGCCACTACGCCCTGCGCCTCCGAGATCTGTATTTCCCGTTAGACGCAGCGCGCGAATAAGTTATAACACGAAACAAGCTTTCACATGAGCTGGATGTAGAAGCTACTCCACGCGCAAAAGAGTCAACTCTCGGGACCATGTCCATAAATTATACTCAAAGTCTCTTAAATCATCACAATATTTGACCCTCCTTCACTGCCAAGTTCTCGCTCCTCCGCCTCGTCTGTCTCACCAGTCCACTGAGGAAACTGGCTGCCTTGCGCAACGTAGGTGCTGTATACCATCATATTAAAGACCCAACTGTACTTCTTGGCGATGCTGGTGATGCTCTCTATCAAGATCTGGCTTATATCAGATATCCTGCCATTATCTGTCCGGAAATCCAAGCGGCAACTCATAGCAAGATTCGTATACACGACCTGCACAAAAACCACAACGACCCTTAAGATTGCGATGGGTTACTACGCGAATTTTCCGACATTCAGATCATTCAACAGTTGAGGCGATGCAGTGGAGAAGTTTTATTCAGAGTTGAGCTGTGCCTTGGGGGAACTATTATAGACCCCGTGAAGGGAGGGTGACCTTGTCTTTCTACGAAATAACATAAGGCGAGAGATTTCACTTGGTGCTCAGAGCGTGAGCAGAGTCTCATCATGCGAGCTCATCCCCAGGACTATAACTCTCCGCTCTTGGCCTCAAGCCATCATTGCATGGCCCAAGTCTATCCTCCTCCATGTAATCCTCAACGTAGTATAGCTGCGGGCCATCAGACTCAACAATCTCTGTTTGTGCATCCACTTCCTTCTTCCACAAGATCTCCAACTCCCTTTTAAGCCCCTCAAGCTCACTTTCAAGCTCCTTGACTTTCTTCTCAACCTCGTGACGCAATAGGATGATGGCCCATGCGTCCTTCGCTGCTTTGCGAGCAGAGAGTATCTGGGCAGCCTGGAAGTCACGGGCTTCGGCAACGTCAAGCCCGCGACGTGCCGCGCGTTCCTCCTCGGTAGTGGCTAGGATCCAGTTGTCGATAAAGGAGGGATCTAAGGCGGTAAGGGAGCAGGTGCTGGTGGATTGTTTGGTGCACAGTTTCTTGGAATTGGATGTGCTGCTGAGCTGGGAACCAGAGCGCTTGTGCGACGGTGTGCTAGATCGTGAAGACATGTTTTTTGTTGGGAAATTTGGCTGGGTTGAGTTGTTAGTCTTTATGGAGAGGCAATGGATAGCTATATGTAAATAACTGACCAAATTGAGCCAACTGTGAATACCAGAAAGGAAATGCAAAGCAAATGCCAAAGATCCTTTGTGGATGCTGACAGGTGCGTACTGTGTTGCGTGCGGTGGTGATAGTCGTGTTTGAACTGACAGTTGCAGGAATGAAAAAGAGAGAGAAGAGAGGGAAACGAAAGGCTCAGTCAACGTGGAATGATAGATCATGTCAATTCAGTAATATTTGCTCTTGGTCTATTGACTGCATGGAGGTTAATATATATTCTCCAAATTGTCTGGATGGTGCTGAGGGTGAAGTGGGTACTCTCTGCAAGAATGAAAATAACTTGCCGTCATAACTCAGGATGTTGGATGATGGCTCACGAGATAACAGGCCTAATTAGAAAGAGTAATGGTTGAAAAACACGACAGAAATCTCAAGCTGCAGTATGCTATCGTTGATTGCTTGTAACTGTTTGCATCGTATTGAGTGTTGGGGAAATGGCCTTGGAAAGAGGACGACAGCATTTAAATGCTGTATCGATGATCCCTGGTATGAACGGATGTAGTTGCAATACAAAACTCAGCTTTTTTGCTAGTTCGGCTACATGCTTTAGGAGATCAAGAGTCCTTTGGCTCAGCCTATCGGATCCCACCTACGCACTCCGCTGAGAGGTTGCATGAAGTAATACGCCACATCACAGTCATCATATCGATGTGGCTTGCAGGCGCATTCCACCCCCCTGAATATCATTGCAGCACGGGATGGTTATGCCCAGGTGAGCGCCATACTTCCAAGTTCAGTAATAGCTCTCGTTGAAAAGTCCACAAGTTGGCATCGGCTTGTGTTCCCAAGGATGATCTCAACCGCTATGACAACAAGAACCAACCGCAATTGAGAAAATGCGGCGCTTTCATTTGATGTACTATGCGCCATTGCAAGAGACGAACTGGGTCTTACACTGTAAGTACTGTCAATCGATCACTGTGGAATCTCAATTGAAACAGAGGACAAGGCTGAGCAGGGAGAACCGAGTTATCGTAGCTATCCAAGCAAAGACTTTCTAGTTACTCACAGGCTTGATTTATCATCATCATAGTAACAGTGCTTTACTTGTTATTGACAGTTCACTTGAGATCAGAGATTGTTTGTCAAGCCAATAAGCGCGCACACCAATCGAGATCTTTTGTGCAGCCCCGCCGGACTCTAGCACCATCGCTCACTAAGCCCACTGTAGATCACCTACTGTAATTCAATCACCCCGCGTCACCATGTGCATCACAGCGAATATCACTCCAGGCAACTCGTTTCTCTATGAGAAATAACCAGTACTTATTATTTTTTATTAATTACTTTAAAATTATTTTTAAGGATTTATTTAAAAGAATCCTAATTTTTAAATATATTTTAAATATCTTAGTCCTAGGCTTCTTTGTTATTTTTAAAAAAGTCTCTTAAAATAGTTTTAACTTAGATTTTAATATCTCTTTAAATAAGACTTATAATATATAAGAGTTTCTTTATAAGTATATTTAGCTTATTTTTATATAAGTAGAAATAAGCCTTTATTTAAATTGGGAATAAAATTATATTAATAGCTTATTTTTTAAAAGGTTTTAGCTTAAGTAATTTAAGTACTTCTTTAAAATTATATTTATTACTTTCTATTAATATATTAATAATAAGGTATATATTTACCTAGGCTTATAAATTATAAATAATACTATAAGGTTATTAAATTTTAGCTCTTATTTTTATAATATAAGGAGATAATTTTATATAATAAGATATAAATTTAATATTAATATTATTAAATTTCTTACTAATATAAAAATATTATATAATTTATATAATATAAAAACTAAATACAAGATATTAATATATAATAATTATAATTTTTTAAAGAATAAATTAGTTTATATTAGGTTTATATTAATAAATATATAAGGTAAAAACTAAATAAGTAATTTAATATTTTATCTTCTTATAATTAAGTAATATATATTAGGCTTATTAATATAAAGTAGTTTTATTAATAGCTAGTAAGCTAAGGTTTATAAAAATATTAATAAATATAATTTATATATTAAGGTAATTATATAAGAAATAATAAGTCCTTTAGGTAAATTATTCTTAGAATATTATATTTTTAAGCTATTATATTTTTACTTTTATTATTTTAATATAATTAAAGTATTAATTAGTTAATATAAGTTAGGTAAATCCTTTTAAAGCTAGTGCCTTATATAGGCTTTTATAAGATATATATAATATAAATACCAAGGTTATAATAATTACTAAGAAATCCTAGGTAATTATACTCTTAATTATAATTACCTATAAAGAATTATAATTATAATTATAATCCCTTTATTAGGATTATAACTTTAATTACAATTAACTAAAATTACCTTTAGTATATAAATTATACTTATTAATACTTTTATAGATATTAATTTACTAGCTATTAATAAAACTTCTTTATATTAATTAAGCCTAATATATATTAAATCTACTATTAAGAGATATAATACATTATTTTACTTAGTATTATGCCTTATATTATCTGTAAATATAAACTTAGTATAAATTAGTTTACTTATTTAGAAACCTAACCATAATATATAAATAAATTATTATTAAAGTTCTTTAATTTATAATATATATATTACTTGTACTACTTATTATTTACTTAATATATTAAAGCCTTATTTTAATTAAATATAATATAAATACTTAAAATAGTAAATTAAAATAGCCTACTTCTAATAATTTAGTATATAAGTAAATTATAAAATTTATAAATAATATACTTTAGCTTACTATTATACTTATTATAATCCTGCTTATTTAAACCTTTCTTCTTATTATAGCTTAATCTTACCTTTGCTATTTTATTATACCTCTATAATATATTAATAATATCTTTTATAGCTTAGTATTATAAAGGGGTTATTTTAATTATATCTTATATTTTTATATAATAATTATCCTCTCTTATAAACTAACTATTAATATAATATATTTACTAGTAATATTATATAAAAAGTTATTTTATAATCTATAAATAAGAGGTAAAAAATAACTTATTTTTAAAGTTACAAAATTTATTAGCTTTTATATTACTTATAGTATTATTATTATAATAGAAATTACTTAGCCTTTTTATATATTATTTTATTATTTTATAATTATATAAGTTATTAATATATAGCTTATATATATTTCTAAGTATATTCTTAGCTATATTAAAAATATATTAAAAATTTATATTTATATTACTTATATTACTTTCTTCTACTTTATTATTATTATTATTATTATTATTATTATTATTATTATTATTATTATTATTATTATTATTATTATTATTATCCTTACTAAGAAGTAATATATATATTAATATACTTTTAATATTATAAAGATGTTATAAGTATATTAAGAACCTAATATAAATAAGCTATAGCACCTAATTAGCCTATAATACCTTAATATCTTATATACTCTTAGCCTCTTTATTTACGTTATATAAGGCCTAAATAATATTAGCCTTTAAGTCTTTAAATAGCTTTCCCTCCTCTTATAATATAAATATTATAGCTAGGCCTAACTTAACTAGTACTCTTTTTATTATTAGCAGAATTAGGTCTTTTCTAATTATAAAATAGTTAATAAGGCCCTTAGCTATAAAGCATATCTTTAGCTTATATGCGCTCTAGAGAGGCATAGTATTTATATACTCTAAGGACTTTTTACTAAGGGCTAATATATAATTATATATCTTATTTATTTACTTTAAGGTTAATCTTATAAAAAACTTATTTATAGAGTTAAAATATAATTAAAAATAAAAAAAAACAACTTTCTATTTAACTTATATCTTAACTTAGTTTAATTTTAAAATATTTAATTTTTCCCTTTATAAATAAAAATATCTAGAAATAATAAAACTAAAACCTGTATAATTATTTTACTAAAATAGGCACTATATCTAGATTATAAATAGTTAAGTAATTACTAATCTTATATCTAGAGATTATATAATAAAATAACTTAAAAGCTTTAAGATAGATATTATCTTAAAAGCCCTTAAAAATAATAAGGCCTAGTATTTAAGAAATAATTCTAATTAAAAGATAATACTTATTAAATAAACATAAGTTATAATTCTAAAATCCTTTTATTAAAGCTTTATAAGCCAACCTAGTTATATAATATATAAAATTAAAATAGCTATAAAAGGATTTTACTTCTAGCTAAATTATTAACTTATAAAAAATAAATATTAAAATTTAATACCTAATATTATTAATAAAGCTATTACTTAGGTTATTTATATCCTTAGTAGTAATAAAATTACTATTCTTAATCCATTTCTACTATAAATTTAATACTTTAAAGCTAGTATATAATATATCCTAATTTTAGTTATAAGTTACTAATCTAATAGAATTTATATTTTATTAATTATATTATTAAATCTAGTTATATTATATCTTAGATAATTAATATTATATCTCTAGATACTCTGGCTATAGCCTAAATAAGAGTATTTTATTAATTATATATAATATTAGTAATATCTAAGGGTAGTACCTAGCCCTAGATATAAAGATCTATAATAGGTTAATAACTTTAATAGAGTTATAGAAATTTAACTTTTTAATAAGTATGCTAAGATATTATTTAGTAACTATAAATATAGCCTCTTTATATAATAATAAAGTCTATAGCATAACTAGATCCTAGGTTAGATATATAATAATATTAAAAGCTTATATAAAAGTAAGGTATTTATTCTTCTTATATTAATTAAGGAAAAAGAACTTGCTCTTAGACTAATAAGGAATCTTAGCTATTTTATAATAAAACCTAGTATAAAATAGATAATGGTAAAATGTTTTAAAAGACTTTAGCTATATCTCTTAGAAAGATATTAGATAATATAAAACATATAGTTATTTAATACCCTTACTTTATTATAGTTTATAATAATTATTATTTAACTTCTATAAAAGAAGATATTCTAGATAGTAAGTATTATATTAATATATTAGATAGTAATTATCTTAATACCCCTTCTAGGTAACCCTCTTAAAAAATATAATATAGTAAATATAAGCATATTAAGATTTATACCTATATGAAGATATATTATATAAGTATTAATTTACTAGTTTATACCTTAAATAAAAGGTTTACTATAAAAGCTTAAAGACTTATTATATTTACTAACTACTCTTATATATCTACTAGCCTATTTTTAGCATCTTTTATAAAAGACTATATAGCTATTTAGTAAGTAATATTATCTTATATTTTATTTCTATTAATATTTACTTTTAGTCCTAGTATTATCTTATTTACTTTCTTTTATATAAGCTTAATAGCTTTTAAATTAGTTGTATAAAATTTAAAAAGCTTAAACTTTTTATATTTAATTATAAATAATTACCTATTTAAATAATAAGGAAAGTCCCTAAAATAAGTTTTCTCTTAATAATTAATTTAGTAAAAGCTTTAAATTTAATAATTTCCTTAAATAGGGTATAATAGCCTTA